AGATCTTCTCGTGTTGAGTCGGCAGACAGGTAAAAAGTGTTGCCTTCTCCTTTGTTATCTTTCTTGTTCGTCTTCCTGATTCTTAATCGGATTTTTATAAAATCCGAGTTGAAATCTGCTCTTTAAATCACCTACATTTATTTCTATAAATTCTCCGTGCTACTCGTCACTAAGACAAATCCCAGTCAGTCTGTAAAACTCATCGCAACAGAACTAACTGTCTGCTAGTCGTAAGCTTCTGATGATCAAACTACTCAGTATTCCTATGTGTATTCTTTAGTTATGGCGAGACTGAAAATGAATGATTATTCAGGCATATGAATTCTTTCTGAATAGTCTCCTCATGAGTGTCCCGTTGGAGCGCATGACTTTACTATCCAGGAAGCATAGTCGTTCGTCCTCCACTTCCATTGCGAATTAAATTTGTTCATCACTTTGGTTATTTAAATTGAAAAATTCACACAAAAGATTTTCAGAAGTGTAATATAGTCGTCTAAGTGTCTCATAAACACTCTTAGTTACAGTGGTGACTTCTCGAATTTCATTTCCAATTTGTCCATGTATACATTTGCCAGAGAAGTGAAAGTGGATATCCCATCGGTAGTCCAAATAATTGCTTGTAGACACTGCCAATAAATGTAAAATAGATGGTCCTTACTGTAAGGTTAATTAGTCGTATTGACGACCACTTCCGTATTTGTTCTGCCTCCAGGATATCCTCTTCCCACTCCAATATCTGTAGCAGGGTGCTTACCGTCTTCATGTTTGAGATGTTCATATACATGAAGTGTATTCAAGACTGACCAACTGTTCCGTCTCCACCAGCTTAATATTTTGAATCCTTTGAGAAAATTTGTATGAATTCTTCAAGGTATTCGAAAGTCTGTCATTTATTTTCTTGAGCATCAGGCAAATGAATTTAGCTAGCTTTTATACCACTCCATGAATTTTGTTGACTCTTAATCTTAGCGGATTTCCTTCCTTGCCTATCTTTGGTAGTCCGTAGGCTCTCAGAAGTCTTGCGTCATTTTTAAATTAAAGAGTTCATCATCTATATGACAACTTCTCCCTTATTATGCATTTATTTAGTATATTCTTCAGTGTCACGTTTGGATTCATTTTTGGATCCTTACTTAGTATTCGATAAATTCTCTACTCACCTTGGATACTTGGTCAATAAAGCAAAAGCTTGACTATGAGAATGACTAGGGATCTATAGCCTCAAGTTAGTCTCTCACCCAGGTTAAGAATCCAGACTTTGTGGGCCCATTCAGTGAGACAGGAGTATTCGCTCCATCAAAGGCACGAGGCAGAGTGCGGAAATAATGCCTCGAGTAGCGCAGATATGGTAGCATTGGCCGAGTGAAATCCTTGAACCAGGACGATAGGAGACCGATCATACTGAGCAAGAGGGAGACCTTGATAGGACATTTAGGAAGAGGATTGCAGAATTATTTGGCAGACTCAGATTAACCCTCTCAGAACAATGGTAGCTGGATGTGGTTTAAAGAGATCTCATGAAATCCACTCAAAAGGGCAAACCATACTGCGTTCAAATGAGCAATTTAGAAATTGTGATAGTGAAGGGGTGGTACGAGGATATAGGAGAGATGAATAGCCCAGGACAGAAGAAGAGATACCACAACTGCTTAGCCGACTATTGGTCAAAGGATCGACTTCAATTGTCTCTTTGATGAGTTGTAGTGTGGAGCTTGGAATGGCAAGGGCACTAACGATAATGACTCTGATGCCGGCAAAGCCTATGAGAATGTACCATGTCCACACTCCGATTCTGGAAAATGTCATGCATACTATGAACTCCGGACTATGTGCGTTCCTTTAGGTCTTTCTGCTATAATGATAGAGTTATGAAATCAAGGTCTAGCAACTACTCAACTATTCTCCTTTTTTTCGACGTTTTACATGATATGTGGTTGTCATCTTATGATGCATATACTATTTTACTATTTTGATGCTTTATTTAACGGCTGTATTAATTAAAATCTATCTAATTTTTTATCAGAAAATATTTCGAATCTAGGAAAGACTTAAGATTACGAGAATGCCAACAAATTGGTACTCCAAGATGCATGCAATTTTAGTTTTTCACTAGTTTTATCTCATAGAGCATAAATATCATGGAACATACATACTACGCCTATAACTAGTATGCAGATCTAGTAATGCGAAATAATATGAAATAAAGGAATGCAGTTGAAATATAATAAATCACATTAGATACGTTTCTTTAATACTCACTACGTTTTAACTATTTATCATTATACTACCTAAATAAAAATTAAGTAACATTTAATAATATACGTGTACGAATTCACCATCAACTCACAAAATAATATAAAAATCGTTTATCAGACTGCGTTTTCTTAAATAATAATTTCAATACTCTGAATTAGAAATACTTTTCAATACCACTCATATTTGAGGCCAAATAAGCTTTAAATTCATTACATAGTTTGTTAAACAAAATATTATATATAGAAAAGTTGGGTTTCAAAGAATCCCTTAATATATTGATATTGGAATGACTTTTATTTAGCTTCAAGAGGCGAGTGGAAAGGATTCGTAAGTTTTTATCACTCGATATTGTATGGGGACAAGTGCCTTAGAGCTGTTATTATAGGTATAGACTTAATGGCCTCTGTAGGGTCTCTACGGATTACCTTGTATGTGGTAGCGTAATTTAAATCATGCACCATTATTTTTTATCCGCAACTTCTACTGCTCCTCCTTTGTCTGCCCTCAACACCATCTGATCCTCATTAGTTAGTTTCTATATGGTTTTGACCCTCAATTCACACCCATTTTTTAAGAGCAATACATTTACACAACACGCAGTAAATGCAGCGCAAGCGTTGCGGCAACATTGCAGGATCAAAGGTATAAGTGTTTTAGGAAAGAAAGCAGCTGTTCGGTCGAAATTGCATCCGTTCTAAGCTTCAACTAAAGTTACTTCACATGTCATCTGCAGCCGCTTAACGTAAACATTCAGGCAAAACATAGGGTATCCAACCAAAACATTAGATAACTAAGTGGATCAAATTTGACCATAAGAACTAGGTAGGTTTGAAGCCGGCCACATATCTTGTCATGGTGTTTCTTGTCAATTATCAATAAGCATTGTGTCTTGTTCTGACCATATTCGTCAAATGACGGAGGAAAGCTCAGCAAGGTTTCATCGAGGTTGCAGGGCGGGGTGCCGAGGATCATTTGCACAAATCTACAAACACAGCCCCTACATTTTCCGGTGAGATCAACTTACGAATCCCTTGAACCCACCACTTTAAACGAAATGGAAGGTACTCCAACTTCAAAAAATACTATATTTATTCTGGCCTGGATTTATTCCAAGGAAAAGTTTGCATCTATTATGAAGAAAATTTAGTCTAGGTGGCAAAATCGCTGCCTAAGAGTGGCGGTTCAAGTCCTTTCTCTTAGATCTTCATGCAACTATAGTCCATTCTGCTAGAATTAACTGAATGTAATTTTCTGACTATCAATCCTTCAAAGTAAGAGACTTTTTCATGGATATTAGTTTAGTTCTTTATTCGGCTCTTATACCATATGCTATGTCGGTAGATAGCCTCACGAAATTTTTGCTTCGATAACAGTTCTTATTGATATTAAAGTTACCATTGAATCTTAGCTCAGTAACTATCGTATCTTGTAGATACGATGAGAAACTGGGCTTCAAGGAATCTCTTGAAATGACATTGTTAGGGAGACTCATTTTGTATGAAAGTGAACAAATAAGAAATTCTTCGGTCGATCTCACCAGATTAGGACGGATAAATCTTGTTATACTGCATCCGTTTGGCTCTTATACGATATTCATGTTGACGCAGTTCACGAGACTTTCTCCCTCGACCAACG